TCTTTTCAAATGCAAATGACATTAATCTCTTTTTAATGATAATTATTCCCCCGCATGAGCCTCTATCGCAAGCTAGTTCCAGTCCAGTACCGAGACTGCAAATATGGTCTATTACGTATGAGTAGCTTATTATTTGCAATAAAACATATTTGGAAGGAATTGTTCCTGAGTAGACCATTATTTTTAAGGTAGTAGTAAAATATAGCGGCAGTGAAAGAAAAATATATACACCGAAAGGTAGTAGTATAATATAGCGGCAGTAATAAAAAAATATATATACACCAGAAAGCTGAACCATCAAGTATTTGGTAACCAATTTATCTCAATTACATTATTAATGCATGCCTTGTAGATCTCTATTCTGCGATTGAGTACAAATCACTTGGATGTTACAAATACAAACCTCAGAACAGCGGGCTGGCTTCTCTGGAAGGAAAAGATGTTCTTGACGGTAATTACAAACTCAGAACAGATGCAATTGAGAAGTGCGCACTGGCAGCCATGAAGACACAAAAAGACGTTTTCGCCATTCAAGATGGCGGAAAATGTCTTGTTAGTAGCACTAGAGACCCAGCGTTCAACAAGTATGGAATCTCACAGGATTGTAAAAGCGATGGAAAAGGTGCATCAGGGGCGTCTCATGTTTACCTTACTTTTGGGATTGAAGGTACGTATGGTATGGAACAACTACGACTATATAATTTTGTGTTCAGCGATTCTAGAGTTCTTGCCTTTTCAAGTACGGAAACAACGTACAAGGACATGCCTGTTACTATATTAAACAAAAGGTATGTTAGAAGTGGATTTCCTAGCTGAATGTAGATTTACAAAAGACTGTCCAAGCCACACCATTGGAAGAACAGTGAGCTAAAGCTCGTGTAAGACAATGATATTTTGGCGTAGTGTGAAAAAAGTTGCTATTTTATTAAATTCGGATAAAAACATACTCGTCTGTGAATTCAAAAGATTTAACCTTGAGACTGACAAGAACTGATTTAGCTTCTCGTTTAGCTAATTGCGTACAATTTTAGCCAACACATCCTGGTATCGGAGACTCTTTAAGGGGACAAATTTCAGTCTGTGGGTCCGTTAGCGCACGAAAATTAGTTACCTTGTGATGGACTAGCATCCCATCCAGGGAGGGTAGAAATACGTGCTCGCTGCTCCCAGCATTCGTTGCTCTAATATATTTCGCATTACAGCTCTAACAGATCGCACTGAATCTGGAATTCGTCGGGGATGATACAAAGACCTACCTGTGCGAGCCATGGAAATCCTAGAAGGGAAAGATCACTTTCTTGACGGCAACTATACCACAAGAAAAGATGCTCTTTGGAAATGCATTCTGGTCGGAAAAGGTCGTGGATATCCAATTGTGGGTATTCAAAATGGGGGTATGTGTGTTGGTAGTCCCACGCTGAGAGACTTTAACAAATATGGCGTCTCCCACGATTGCAAAAGTGATGGAAAAGGAGGACCTTGGGCCACTGAAGTGCACGCTTTAACATGGATAGAAGGTAGATTATTCATAGGACTAGCTACATGGAAATTCTTTGAATTTGATTACTTTCAAATTAGTCTGGGAATATAGTCATATCACCTGTCTACTATATTGTACACAGAGCTGTCCAAATTTTTTGTTAATTTGGCCACTATCCAAACTAAGGATTAACTTAAACAGCTTTGAAAAGGAACAAATCATCGTCCGCGCGTTTCTATAGGATTGTAAACAGCAATATACTTAAGTTGTTCATACAAAACATGACTGATTAGATGTAAGAAAGAGACGAAAAACACATACACACATAATTCGGACGCTTTCCACTCGGTCAAAAAAATCCACAGCTTTGGAAACAGTTGGAAAATGATTTGAAAAGTTGCTTAGAAAGTTTCCGGAATATCAGAAAACTGTTTAATTTTTGAAATGCGAACCGCTCAACCAAACATTCCAGAAATTCCAGGGTGGAAATCAAATGGAACAGAGATTCTCTTAAGATATTTTCGACACTTTGGAACTTGCGAGGTTGTCCTCTTTTTCGGAAAATGTTGAAACTGCTGTTCAATTCGCGACTGGAAATTTCCGAGAAAAAATTCAAGCTGGAATTTTTGGTCGAATGGAAAAAAACCTTTCGGTTTTAATAATGCACTGCTTCAGTTTCGTTATGGCATGAATTTATATATGCGAGCTAATCTGTACTAATACGACATCAATACCCTTGTCTTCAGATTTTCTGTCCTCTGTTAAGTACGAATCACTTGGCTGTTACAAAGACAAAGACAATGGTGTAAGAGCTATTCCATCCATGGAAAGAAGAGACGTTCTTCTCAAAGACAGCTATTCACAGAGAAATCAGGCTATTCAAAAGTGCGCTGTGGCAGCCTTGGCACGGGGATATAAAATGTTTGCAATTCAAGATGGCGGCATGTGTGTTGGTAGCCCCAATGCACACAAGGTGTATGGCAAGTACGGTAAATCACAGGATTGTAAGAATGACGGAAAAGGAGGAGCCGGGGCTAATCAGGTTTACAATCTGACAGGAACCATGGAAGGTACAGTGACAAGGATAAT